TGTTTAACCCTTCAAGAAGGCATAGAAAACACAGATAGTTGCATTTTTCTGTCTTGCACTCTGAAATTATAAAACCAACCTCATTTGTATATAGGGTTACCTTAATTATTTAAAGCTGATTCCGTAAAGGTTTTTCTGGTAAGGGGCAATTTGTTGCTGCTGTTTAGCAACATTTAAAGTATTGGAAGGTCAGTTTTTTGTTCTGTGACTTGGAGCAACACTGGATTTATGTAAGCATTTATTTATCTCTACAAAACAGCCTGTAAATCCTTTAAGAAATGTAGTACTGTAAGTTATCAAAGCTGTCCAGATATAAAAAAAAAAAGTCACACAATGAGTTAAAGCCTTAGTTTCAGACACATAGTATCTGACTTGATTTCATTCCTACAACTCTAGTCACACACATCAAAAATAAACAAAGAAACCTAAAACTCCTCAGTCTAGATCTCACAGAGCTGTTCCCCTTCCCAGTGGGTCCAAAGTTCTTAACTAACTTGAGGTCACACATAGAAAAACAAATACTGCCACCACCTCTGATAAAACACCAGCAAACCAGATTCTCTGTTGTTTCTCCACCAACAGCTATCAGCTCCCCATCACGCACCCAAATGGTCAGACCATAACGAATTCCCCATCCAAAATGCCCACCGCATTTGTAGTCTAGGGGTTAAGTTTCAGTGCTATTATTGCTGCGACTGGGTTCAAACCCTGGCCAACGAGGTGACTCACAACAGACCTCTCCTGACCCGCCCACTGCTCCCCTCAGCAATGTATTCAGTAGACCCTCTTGTTCCGCTCCCCACTCTGTCTCTGGTGAGTCCTCTCACACACCCACTCCCCACCTCTCAACTGTACGCCAGTTCTTTTAAGCAAAAATAAAATTAAAGCAAAATGACTACCGCTAAAACCGAAACACCAACTTGGCAAAAAGAAAAAATAAATCCAGAGAATCAGAGAGTCAACAAATGTGTTTGTTATATTTGGAATTCCCTCCAGAGCAAAAAAAAGAGGTACCTGAGTGAAAAGAGACCAGGAGGTGCACTTCTCCAGGGAGGTGGCTGACTGGTTCTGACAGCTGTTTGTATGCAAGTTAACATATGATTTCCCCTAGCCTGGGACCTTGAATGAGAACCCTGACATGAATTAAGTACTTCCCTATAGTCTAGAAGATGTTTGGGGGGGGCAGGGGGTGCTTTGTACTGTCCAATACTGAAGGACCTGCTGAGAAAAACTTTTGGACTTTTTCTCACTTTCCAGATAATTTTTGGTTACACAGTCTGGGGTGAACTAGCAGCTGTCTTTTGTTAGGAACTTATAGGCATAGGACTTAGAACCGCTAAGTTTTAATGTTGAATGGAGAAGTTTGGGCTCTTTTGAGAAGGCTGTTTTGGATGGGACCTGCCAGCCTGGGTAAGGATGGGGGTGGGGCCCCAAAACTA